TGGGGCACCTGGGCGGCTCAGTCGGTTAAGCATCCGACTTCGGCTCAGGTCGTGGTTCGTGAGTTCGAGCCCCGCGTCAGGCTCTGTGCAGACAGCTCGCAACCTGGAGCTGCTTCGGATTCTGTGTCTCCCTCTCTCTCTCTGCCCCTCCCATGCTCTCTCTCTCTCTCAAAAATGAATAAATGTTAAAGAAAATAAAAGAGGAGTGCCTAGGTGGCTCAGTTGGTTGGGCACCCAGCTCTTGATTTGGCTCAGGTCACGATCTCAGTTTGTGGGATTGAGCCCCGCATCTGACTCTGCGCTGACAGCACAGAGCTTGCTTAGAATTCTCTCTCTCTCTTTCAAAATAAATACACAGAAAGAAAAATGTCATGTCATAAAGATGTCAACTCTCCCGGTGCAGACTGATAAATGAATAGGATTGCGACAAGAATGCCCACAGCTCTTTTTTCATCACAGACAGAATAGGCTGATTCTAAAACTCCTAGCGAAACCCACGGAAGAAGAGGCAGGATAAATCTGCCTAACAAAGAAGCAGGGGCACAGACAGACACATGGCCGTGTTCACAGCGGCGTCATCCAGGGTGGCCCAAAGGGTGCCAGCAGCCCAGAGGCACACGGACAGGTGAATGAACACGCACAATGCGGTCTCTCCATACAAAGGAGTATGATGCTACTTTTAAGAGGGAGGGCAGTCTGACGCACGTTACGGCAAAGGTGAACCTTGAGGACCTGACGCTAAGCGAAGTCACCCACACGCGAAAGGACAGAGATTGCATGAGTCTACTTAGGCGAGCTCCCGGGAATCAGAAAGTCCACAGGATCAGAAGGTAGAATGGGGGCGCCGGGGCCGGGGGAAGGGCTGGAGAGGTGCGTCTCATGGGGGGCAGGGTCTCAGTTTGGGAAGGTGAAGAATCCCGGAGACGGAGGTGGGGATGGCTGCCCAACACTGTGGACGGGCTTTGTGCCACCAAGCTGGGCACTTAAGGATGGTTAAGACGGTACATTTTATGTGATATGTATCTCAACACAATGCGGAAAAGAAAAAGAGGAAGAGAAGTGGGCAGCATTACGGGAGCAGTTCTGGCTGCGCTAGACATTTAAACCTTGTATAAAAATCCGCTAATGCAAAACAAGGTATGTGAATGTAATCTTGTTGATGCTGACATATGAAAAGTAAACCAACAGAAAGAGAATCGGGTTTCTACTGGGCCTTGGTTTAAAGGCTTGCCGTTCCAAGAAGGTCTCTGTCCTCGGAGCCCGTTAGAAATGCAAAACCTTGGCCCCACCTCACACCTGCAATCCACATCTAACCTGCAACCAGATCCCAGGAGATCTGTGTGCATGGTCGGGTTCTAGAAACACTGCCTTACGACAGATGCTGGTGAGGACGCGGAGAAAGAGGAACCCTCTTGCGCCGCTGGTGGGAATGCAAACTGGTGCAGCCCCTCTGGGAAACAGTACGGAGGTTCCTCAAAACACTAAAAATAGATCTACCCTACGACCCAGCAATTGCACGACTAGGCATTTATCCAGGCGATACAGGTGTGCCGTTTCGAAGGGACACATGCACCCCCATGTTTATAGCAGTGCTATCGACAATAGCCAAAGGTTGGAAAGAGCCCAAATGTCCATCGATCGATGGACGAATGGATAAAGAAGATGTGGTATATTTACAGTGGAGTATTACTCGGAGATCAAAAGGAATGAAATCTTGGCATTTGCAACTACGTGGATGGAACTAGAGTGTGTTATGCTAAGCAAAAGAAGTCAGAGGAAAATATCATAGGACTTCGCTCGTCTGTGGAACTTAAGATGCAAAACAGATGAACATAAGGGAAGGGAAGCAAAAATAAGATAAAAACAGAGACGGAGACAAACCCTAAGAGGCTCTTAAATACAGAGAATAAAAAGAAGGTTGCTGGAGGGGTGTTGGGTAGGGGAATGGGCTAAATGGGCAAAGGGGCATCAAGGGGGACACTTGTTGGGACGAGCACTGGGTGTTACACGTAAGTGGTGAATCATTACATTCTACTCCTGAGATCGTTGTTACACGCTCTGTTAACTAACTTGGATTTAAATCTAAAAAGAAAAAAAAGAAAAAGAAACACTGCCATAAAGCATCCAAACAGTGACCTGGTGGAGATATCTGATAAGCCAAAAGATGACTATTGGCTTTATCTGTCCAGGTTTTGACCTGTCTCAACGGCTCTAGCACAGCTGTGCGTCCTTCCCCAGCGTGAATTAGACTGCTTTTTCACACGCTTGGAAATATACAGTAGCCACGAAAGCGTGTGTCTCTGCGAGTGGCTCCTGCCATCGCGTCCCAACCCCGAGCCAAGGGCTCCACCCACGCTCAGCTCCCAGAGTATTCACGAGAACCGGGTGAGGAGATACCGCTCTACAGAGAAGAAAGCTGAGGCTCAGAGAGGTCAAGCAACTTGGCCAGGGCCACACGGCCCGTCAAAACCAGACGTGAGTGACTCCGAGCCTTAGCCTCGGCTCATCCGCCCAAGGCTCGATGCTTCCACGGAGGCTCACGGAGGCCGGGCACACGGGGCTGGCTGACGGTCACCACACAGAGCCCCGGAGACTTAGAGAGAGGCATCCGCAAGAAAAGGAAAGGGAACGAAAGCCGCCTTTCCGAGGCGCCTGCAGACTTACCTGGCGGTAGGCCAGCAGATGCTCAAAGATTTCACACAAGGAGACGCTCCCTGAAGAAACTTCTTCAGAGATCGGACTGTTTGTTTTTTTATTCCTCTTCTCCTCCTCCGAAACCCTCTCCCTGACCCTCTGCAGTGCCCGCTGGTAGATCTGGTCCTGACAGTAGACAATCTGCTCCATTTGGAAGTGAAGTCGGATCGACTTCTCCGCTTCGTTTTCCAGTTCAAACTTAATGTCTTCGATTTTGGACTAGGGCAAAAGAGAAGCAGAACGAAGTTCGCTCGGAAACAAATCGCCGGGTCGAGGAAGGGGGTCCTCCCTGAAGCCCGCAGCCAACCGGCTCCTACTGGAACGCGCCACAGCCTTGCACACCCCACGCTGGCTTATCTAGGACGGGGCTCCCTCCCCGGCGGGGTGTGAGGGGGCGGGCAGCGCGCCCAGACCCCAACCCCCCTGCCCTGAGCGTGGGGACCTGCACGGGCTCTGCTTGCGGGCCTCATTTCTCACATTCTTTCTCTTTTGGGGGCTTTCCCGTCTCATCAGGAGTATCTATGCCCATCACAGAGATCACGGGGATGAAACGGGGGCCAAATTGAAATCCATTCAATTCCATAGGGTTCATGTTCCTGCAATTTACAGAAACTGGCTTCCAGAAGGTCAGGGAATAGATCTCTCGCACAGAAAGTATCTGCCCTCCCCAGAGCCCACTGGGAGCCACCGACTGTGATGCATAAGGCCAGGTGCACCCCAGACATTTTCTTCCGTGTTCATGACACCTTCCAAACAAGGTATTCTTAGTCGTATTTCGTGGATAAGGAGCCAGAGGCCCGGGCAGCTTAAGTCGCAGGCCCCAAGACCCCAGCCTGCGACAGGCCAAGCCAGTGTTCCCAGCGGTCCTGGGTGCCAGGGACCGAGAGTGTGTGTCTCCCCAAATCCGTTAAGTTGAAAGCTTAATCCCCAAAGTGATGGCATTGGGGTGGGGGGTTGGGAGATCCAGCCCATGAGAGTGAAGTCCTTACGGATGATGCCAATGTCCTTATAAGAAGGGACACCAGAGTGCTCTCTCCCTCCCTCCCTCTGGCTCTCTCTCTCCCTGTCTTGGGAGGATACGATGGTCCTGGCAGCGATCACACAAGCCAGGAATTGGGCCCTCGGCAGATGCCAGATACGCCACATTGATCTGGGATTTCGGGTGAGCGGCCCAGCGGTGCTCCGTTACAGCGGCCTGAGCTGACCACGCCGGGGGAGCCCCTGCTTCTGAGGGTAGACGCTTCGGGTCTCAGCTGCATGACGTGGGGGGCCTCACTTCCTCCTGACTCCTCACTCTCGGAAGATGTCAGGTGTATATGTGGCTTCCTCAGTGAGTTGCAGGGTTGGGGCCGTTTCCCTCAGATGAGGCCATTCTCCACGAACTCTGGCTCTCTTTTGTGATTTTAAATATTTATCTCCAGAGTCCGCCTCGCTTACTGCTTACTGCCTCTTCCCCTGGATCACTGGTGATGCCACTAATAAAGTTCGCCACTGAGCCTGATTCTCTGCTTCTCTGCGTACGCAACAAACTTGGGATGGTCTTCATCCAAGAAATCTGTTTTCTAGCATCAGGCTGACTTTTTTTTTTTTTTTTTTTTTTTTTTTTGGTTAAATCGCATGTGGTCAGTGTTACCTTGGTTGTTCTGTAGAGGTTGAAAAATTCATCAAAGTTTCCTTTTGAAATATTTGCAAAGGCAAGCTGGACCATATCTGAAGAAAGGAAAACAAGATTCGTTCAAAATCATAGATGGCTGGGGCGCCTGGGTGGCTCCGTCGGTGGAGCGTCCGACTTCGGCTCACGTCATGATCTCTCGGTCTGTGAGTTCGAGCCCCGCGTCGGGCTCTGGGCTGCCGGCTCGGAGCCTGGCGCCTGCTTCAGTTTCTGGGTCTCCCTCTCTCTCCGCCCCTCCCCCGCTCACACTCTGTCTGTCTCTCCCTCAAAATGAATACACATTAGGGGAAAAAAAAGGATTCAAATAAATAGAGTATTTTGAGACTGTGGAATAACCATCTCAGCTGCAGAGCCGACCAGAGGTGTGGACGATGAGAAAGGTGTATTTTGTGTGTGCTCCTGGTTCCTGACACCCAGCTCCTAAATCCCTTAAAAACTCCCGGGTGACAGGAGCATCTCTTGTTCTAAGAAGGTGACTCCTAGGGGCGCCTGGGTGGCGCAGTCGGTTAAGCGTCCGACTTCAGCCAGGTCACGATCTCGCGGTCCGGGAGTTCGAGCCCCGCGTCAGGCTCTGGGCTGATGGCTCAGAGCCTGGAGCCTGTTTCCGATTCTGTGTCTCCCTCTCTCTCTGCCCCTCCCCCGTTCATGCTCTGTCTCTCTCTGTCTCAAAAATAAATAAAACGTTGAAAAAGAAAAAAAAAATTTAAAAAAAATAAAAAAAAAAATAAGAAGGTGACTCCTGGTGGGCCCCAGACTGCTTCAGGGTGAGGGCTGGTCACCAGAAAGATGGAGCCTGGATTAGAAGCCTGGAACTTTCAGCCCCACCCCCACCCCCCCACCCCCATCCCACCTTGCTGCCTCTGAGGAGGAGAAGATTGAGTTAATAAGTGATTATGTCTTTGTGATCAATGATTCCACCTTATTAAAATCCCCTAAACAACAGGGATCAGAGAGCTCCCAGGCTGGTGAACACACCCACGTGCCCAGAGGGTGGTGCCCCCCTCCCCCGACTCCACGAGACAGAAGCACGTGCCCCAGGACCCCCCTCCCCCAGGCCTCATCCTCTATACTTCCCTTCACGCCCTTTATAATAACCTGGAAAGGGGAAGTACATCCTTTAAAATAAACGAGTAGAGGTAAGTCAAGTGTGTTCCTGAGTTCTGTGAGCTGTTCTGGCAACTTATAGAACCTCGTGAGGAGGGGGCCGTGGGAACCCCCGAGAGCCTGTCCGGCAGGAGCACAGCCTGACGTGGGGGCCGTCCCGTGGGGTGAGCCCTTACACCGTCCGGTCGGCGCTAACCCAGTTAGTGCCGGAACTGAGTCCAAATGTCGAACACCCAGCTGGTGCCCCGGAGAATCAGAGAATCGACTGGGTTCTTGGATACTGGAAAACACCCCGGGGAGGAGAGCTCTCATTGGTTTTGATCCAAGCCTTTCCCGGGCCTGGAAATAAAACGCCGAAAAGCCAAATCAAGAACTCACCGGTTACCGTGCGCAGCATGTCGACAGCTGGCTCCTCCAGCTCTCTGATTTGCTGTTTGATAATAATCTCAAACGTCTTGTAATTGACAAATCCCGGCAGCTCTCTGCCCCGATACCGATTTTCAAATTTCTCAATTTCTTTATATATCGCTTTGTACCCTGGAATGGAAAAGAACGGTGCTGAATTATTTTACGAAAACAACCCTGTGGGCTTTTCTTTTCCATTTCCTAATTTATTTTGAGATAGAGAAAAAACATGAGTCGGGGGCAGAGAGAATCCCAAGCAGGCTCCGCACTCTTAGCACAGAGCCTGACGCGGGGCTCGAACCCACATACCACGAGATCGCGACCTGAGCCGAAGTCGGACACTTCACCGACGGAGCCACCCAGGCGCCCCTCTTTCTCTCTCTCAAAAATAAATAAACATTTTTTAA